CACACACACACACACACACACACACACACACACACACACACACACACACACACACCATATATATATATATATATATATATATATATATATATATATATATATACATATATATATATAATGTATATATATATATATATATATATAATATATAAATATATTATATATTGTATATGTGTGTGTGTGTGTGTGTGTGTGTGTGTGTGTGTACACATATATAGGTGTGGTGTGTGTGTGTGTGTGTGTGTGTGTGTGTGTGTCTGTGTGTGTGTGTGTGTGTGTGTGTTGTGTGTGTGTGTATATATAATATATATATAATATATATATATATATATATATATATATATATATATATATATATATATATATATATATATATTATATGAATATGTATATATATATATGTGTGTGTATGTGTGGTAGCGTGGAAGTTTGTGTGCTATATGATATATATATAGTATAATGAAGAGTATATATATATAAAATATTATATATATATATGATAAACGATATAATAAACATCATTAGATAGTAGTAGTACCTAAATATATATAGTGTAGGGGTGAGAATATATATAGTACATAGTAATATAAGTTAGTAGTATAGTATGAGATATATATATGAGTATACCATAGTATGATATACACAGCACACACAGACGACAGAGCCCAGACAGAGAATTATATATAGAGGGAGTAAGATATATACAAGACATAACATACAGAAACAGTAAATAAAAATATAAAGAGTGAGTACGGGAATAGATATGTAAAAGATATATAATGAAAACATATAAAGAGGATAGCTATAGAAGATAATGAGATATAGTATATATATATAGGATGAACTATAGATATAATGAGATGAACTAAATGAAAACAGAACATATACATAGGACAGATCATGAACTAAACATAGATATAGAAGACGGAGAATACTGAGAGAGATGAGAGTAAAGTATGACATAGAGATGAATGAAACCATACAGGTACCCCAGAAGAAGTGAAGAGATATATAGAGGTAAAGAATACGTATGATGAGGATATATGGTGGAGAATAGTTATAGGAATATTGATTAAGAGAGATATATAGATATATCATAGAGTATAAGAAGATGAGCAGGTGCGCTGGGAACACGCACAAAGCAAAGAAGACACACCACAAAACTTAGTACTATGATATAGATAGAGGAGATGAGACGGAGAGAGAGACCGAGAGGAAAAGGGAAGAGAGAATGGCGAGGAGTGGCATTGAACGAGGAGAACGAGAGCGAAGACAAATGAGGTAAAAATAGAGTGTGTGTATAGGTCTGTGTATAGGTGCGCACGCGTAACACACACACACACACATGAGAAAAGGCGACTACACCCTGCAGTGGATTTCGAGTGTCGCTGATAATGCATGGTGATGATGAGGATATATTATAAGCAACTTATAATATGATAATGTATGTATAAAAAGCATACCACATACCATATGAGCTATCTATATATATAGATATAGATATATATATATATAGTACTATATATACATAATATATATATATACATACTGCATTATATATATAGATGAGTACAGAAGATATAATAGACTATATATAGAATATATATATACAATAGTGAACACTACAGAACCTAATAGAAGACATGAGATAAAGTAAAATAAGAGAAAATATATAATTGATAAACATATAAAATATAGATATAAGTAATATTAGAATGAGTACTAAAACTCTTAGGATATATCATAATATATCACGTATATATATTATATATCATAGTATCGTATTCATATAGAACTATAGTAATAAGATAATAGAGTGTGATTCATTATATATTATATATAAGTATACGATATATCATGCCATATATATTAACATAATATATATCTATGATATATATATGATAGATATCAGATAGAGGAATGTAAGGAATTAAATGAATATGCCGGTAATCAAATATACTATATATGAATAAATATATGATATGTATAATAAATATTAGAACTAACTAGTAATAATAAAATATAACAAATAAAATTATAATATATATAAATTAGATAAACTATAATTATATATAACATAAATATATATATCATATATAGACAATAAATACTATACATACATATATTATCATAATATATCATATATATATATATATATCCATACCTATATAAATAATAGAAATATATATAAATAATATATATATACTATATATATATATATTATATATAGATATAATATATATATATATATGTGTGTTGTGTGTGTGTGTGTGTGTGTGCTGTTATGTGTGTGTGTGTTGTGTGTATGTGTGTGTGTTGAGTGTGTGTGTTCATACATACGTCTTAACATCAGTGTCACTCACCAGGCAGAATAGCCTTTCCCGCGGCCCCTGAAGCGCTCGGTGTCGCGGCGGATAGTCTCGGCGCACCGCAGCAGGGGCCTCCGTGATATCATCGGACATCAGATCTGAACATTGAAGTGTTTAGTGTTTATAATGCA